AAGATTCATGATTCATTGTGAGTTTGAACACCATTGTCATTCCTAACAATGTGTCTGAAGCATTGACAAAAATGGAATGGAGAGACGCTATGAAAGTGGAAATGAGTGTTTTAGAAAAGAATAAAACATGGGATATCGTTCATGGGAGATCGTTGACAAACCAAAGGAAAAAAATATTATTTATTGCAAGTGGATTTTTACATTAAAGTACAAGGCTGATGGATCCCTTGAAAGATATAAGGCTATAAGATATAAGGCAAGGTTAGTAGCCAAAGGGTACACTCAAATTTACGGGGTGGATTATCAGGAAACCTTTGCTCCAGTTGCAAAAATGAACACTATGAGAATTTGGTTATCATTGGTTGTTCACTTTAATTGACAATAACCACAGTATGATGTAAAGAATGATTTCCTTCATGGTGACCTAAATGAGGAAATCTACATGAACATCTCTCCGGGAGTTGAAGGGGACACAGGTAACAAGGTGTGCAAGCTGAAAAAAACCATTTATGGGTTAAAACAATCTCCTAGAGCATGGTTTGGCAGATTTGCAAAAGTCATGAAGGAATCTGGGTATAAACAAAGGTGACCACACTCTTTTCATTAAACATTCAGCTGCAGGGGGAGTGACTGCTCTTTTAGCCTATGTGGACGACATCATAGTGACTGGAAATGATGAGAAAGATAAGCATGAATTAAAGCTGAGACTAGTAAAAGAATTTGAAAAAAAGAATTTGAAATCAAGGAACTGGGGAAATTGAAGTACTTCCTCGGTCTTGAAGTGGCATATTCCACACAAGGGATCTTCATATCTCAGCAGAAGTACGTGATTGATTTACTGACAGAAACAGGAAAAACTGGGTGTCAGTCAATCGCTACTCCAATAGAACCAAACTATAAGTTGGGAGAAGCTAAAGAAAAAAAAACTGTGGATAAAAGAATGTACCAGAGATTGGTTGGCAGACTCATATACCTTGCACACACTCGAATAGACAATTCATGCACGATCCTAGAGAACCTCATCTTCAGGCTGCCTACAGGGTACTGCATTACTTGAAAGGCAATCCTGGGACAACAATCTTGTTCAAAAGGAATGACACTCTTACTCTGGAAGCCTACACCAACGCTGACTATGTTGGCTCCATAGTGGATAAAAGATCAACTACAAGATATTGTACTTTTCTTGGAGGTAACCTAGTGACATGGAGGAGCAAGAAGCAGAATGTAGTGGCAAGGTCATTTGCAAAATCAGAGTTGGATTATGTGAATTACTGTGGCTGAGAATCATCTTGGATTATTTAAGAATCCCCTGGGAGGGTCCTATGAGCTCTACTGTGACAAAAAGTCTGCCATTAATATAGCTCATAATCTTATACAACATGATAGGACAAAGCATATTGAAATTATATTGAA